CTCCCCGCCGCCCCGCGTACACACACACACGCGCGCGCCCCGGCCCCGGCCCCACGCACCGCAGGCCCCGCTCCTGGTGGACCAAGCCCGCAGCAGGCCTGGGGCCCAGCCGGGGTGGCAGCAGGCGCCGCCGCGGCGGGGGGGTTTTGTGGGTCAACAAGGGGAAGCGGAAGCGCGGGGGGGGAGGCGGGCCGCATCAAACCGGGCGCGGCCCTGCTCTGCCACCGGCTCCGCTCTGGTGCCAGGCAGAGCCCCGCTTCACATGGCTCTGGCAGCTCGCGGGCCTCCTTGGGCATCCACAACGGGCCGCCGCACCACTGGGGGCGCCAGCCCTCCAGGACTGCCCTGGGGCCTCCGCGGGCTCCGTGTGCATCTCCACACCCACGCCTCGTGCCTCCCGAGGCTGGGCCGCACGGCGACTGCCTGCAGGCCATGGTGGCGGTGAGCGGCGACAGCTCGTAGGCCATGGTGGTGGTGGGCAATCGCCCACAGACGCTGCCAGCGGGGTTGGCAGCAACGGGGGAGAGGAGGGTGAACAGTGACCACCCGCAGGCACCGCCCGCACCATCAGCAGCAGCCAGCCTCAGGGAGTTCACGTGCACCCCCTACGATGCGCCAGTGCATCTCCAGGAGACTGCTGAGAGCCCCCCAGGAGATCAACGGCGGCGCATTCATTAAAATGAATATGAAACGTTGAATCCAATTTATACAGTAGCCAGGTAGGTTTTTAAAACGTATCAGTGCATTTGCCTTCCTGATGTAAAGTCTGCACACCATAATCCGTAACCGATCGACACAAGCATACGGGCATGTTCGTGTTGTGAGTCACGGGCACGCTAGCACTCTGGAGACCTCCCGGACGATAGATTCAAACAGAGCTGGGGACCCTACGCAAGACGGCCGCCAGTTGGAACCCAAAAACAAATCCCCTGAAAACATGCCCCCACCAGAGCAAATAATAGGCCTGATCTTGCAAGCGTCACGAACACGTGCACACCGCCTGTACACTATGCCACAACAACAGATTACTGTTCGGCCAAAAACAAAACAAAAATGGAAGGAGAGCAATGGAGGCACAGATTTTAATGGCTTATTCTGGCCCCAAACTTACAGTGTTGGCTTGTTAGCAGTTACTGCACGTGTTCAGTGGTTTAGGAAGGTTTCGTGGGTCCCATCTCTGCCTTACATGTATTACGCAATTAACAGGTTATTCATGCCATATAATTTTAACAGGCTACACCTGCAATGTAACTAGCACACCATAAAACGGTGCTTCCAGCTATAAAGTTAGAGCTGGAAAATGTTACAGCTAAAAAGTGTTAACAACTTTATAGCTGGTTTCTCTCCCACTTTCATTTCAACAGGTAGCATAGCTAATCGTGGGGAATCTGCGTGGTGTGTCATGCAGGCACCCTCCAAGAGCCAAGTTAGCCGTGACGTGGAGGTTCTGTGATAGGCTGTCTCCTGGGGAAAAGTAGGTCCCAATACTTATACCATTTTGGATACTGACTCTAGGTTTTCTATTTTGCCAGTCATCTAATAACACAAGGGACTTAAAATTTTCTAGCTGTGGGGAACCCAAAGTGTGTTTTGCTGACAAATTTCTGTCATGTTAGAAAAATAACTCTGAAGCTCTATAAAGTTCAGGGGAGGTATAAAATGTGTGTGTGTGTGTGTGTAAGTAAAATGGTCACAGCATAACTACTGAAAATCATCTCAGAAAGAAGATTCAAAGACATGTTAAATTTGTGCACCAAATAATAATAATAGAGTAAATGTCCTGTCGAAACCTTGCATTTATATTTAAATAGGGAATATCAACAAAAGGTGAAAACCTTGTATGAGGAACATCAATATACTTACTGTTCAATAGCTTTTGCACAGGGGTGGACAAAATGTGGCCTGGGGTCCAGATGCGGCCCGCTAGGCCATTCTGTCCAGCCTGCAGGACCCCTAGAAAATTTAGAAAATTAATATTTATCTGCCCCTGGCTGCCTGTCAGGTGGCCCTCAATGGCTTGCCAAAACTGAGTAAGTGGCCCTCCACCCAAAATAATTGCCCACCCCTGGCTTATAGGTTATGCATAGTATTCCAAGTAATATTTACTACATTTTATACTATTTGCAATACATGCCTTAAATGTTTGTTTACTATGAAACTGTTTGGCACTCTGTCTTTTGAAGCTGACTGGGAACTATTAACACTTATTTATCAACATTTTATACACAGTAGTCCTAGGGTTTAATTCCAGAAACAACTTTCTCTCAGAACTGTGGCCTGTTCTACATCAGAGTTAAGCTAAGGTGCAGGAAGAAGGGAAGTGTAATAGAGGTGTACATAATACTTGTCTATTCTCAACAGTTGTCTATCCTGTTACACATGTATGGGGTCATCAGGAATTATTACTGAAAATCAGTCTTCTGTCACCGAAGAAACTAAATACCTGGAAAACAATATTACTCCAAGATGTACTTGAGGGCCAGAAGTTTCCAAACCATCAAGAGGCTATAGGATTAGATATCCCTTATGTTTGACACCCACAGCAATAAAAAACCAGAAGAGAACCCTGGGTAGTAATTCTGGAACAGAGGATTCCATTTAACCCTTTTTATTTTTATTGAATTGGGGGTCTGTTTTCCTTTTCAGAGAAAAATAGAATTAGAGTCACTATTAATGAAGTAATTACATCGGAATACGGCCTTGTAATTCACGTGGCATTCTATCACACCTGACTGACATCCATGTTGAAGTCTCGGAAGCCCAGGACTGAATGAATGTGAACATTCAAATTTAAGCTTTGCATAGGAATCACCTCCAAGTTAAGGTTAGGAAATACTGGCAAGACTGTTAAAAAAATAGTAATTTACAGTATCATTTCTATAGCTACCATACTTTCTCCCATAAAACACATACCTTTCCCCCCCAAACCAGCCAAGAGAAATTGGGGTACATGTTATATGCAAGAAATACAGATCCCCAGGGATTTGGAGATTTGTCAACAGGGAAGTGGGGGCAGCGTTAATTGCCATGGCTCCCAGAGTGGCTTTGGGAGCCAAGGCAATTAATGCTGCCACCAGTGCCCCACTGCCAATCTCCAGAGCCTTGGGGAACCCCCAGGCTGGATGGCATAACCCTGTGAATTGTATTATGCCACTGCTTGGGTCAGACCTGGTACATCATATCGAGCTGGCACCCACAGTCTGTCTATAGCCAGATCCAGCATGTGGTCCCAAGCCCGGGACACCAAATCAGGCCAACGTGTGGGGTCAGTCTGTGATTGGACCTGGTACATAGCCCCAGACTCATCATGTGGCCCCAAACCTGGCATGCCAGACTGGGCCAATATATGGAGTCAGGTCGTGGCTGGACCCAGCACATGACACCAGACGTGATGCACCAGATCAGGCCAAGACACAGGGTCAGTCCATAGCTGGATCTAGTGTACAGTCCGAGACCCAGTGTGTGGCCCCAGGCTCAGCATACTGGATCAATTATTTACCCAGATTGCAAGGTAAACATATTTTTTCTTCAAGCTGTCTGTCAAAAATAGGGTATATGCTATATTTGGGGGCATATTATGCATGAGAAAATATAATAACAATAATCAATCTTTTGCTTTTACCTGCACTTTGTTCAAAGATCTCAGATTATTCAGAAATGATTAATTAAGCCTCACAATATCCTTTGTGACAGAAAAATATGCATGCAGGAGCGGTAAAGCCACTTACTTAAACACGCTCAGAAGCATATTCCAAGTTCTGCTGCTAACAAGAAAACACAAGTTTTGACACAGTTTTTAGTGGTAAGCAATGCAGCAATCCTATACTTTCCCTCTTGAGGCTTTTAATTTGACAGCAGTAACCATGGCACAGAAGGCAGATGCTATCAAAAGCACTATCAGTTCATCATCTAAAATGATCAAACTCCTTTAAAGATATAGTCAACTTAAATACAGTTCATTCCAAAGATGTAAATACATTCCAAAAAAATATCTGTTAAAGAATGTTAAGATTGCAAAATCAAGCCCTCCAAAGTTCGGAATTGGCTGAATTAAGATTCCTTATACAACCTTAATTCAACTGTCTTGTTCACATTCATTATAATGCATTTTTAATTACACTTTCATATTTTTGTCTGGGCTTTAAAGCAGATGCCATTTTTGGGTGGGTTTAAAAAATCCCACAATTTAAATCAATCTAACACAGGATTTTTTTTAACATTAAAAATTGTCAATATTCAGTATGTAGCAAAGAGATTTTTTTTCGATCCATGTTGTCAATACCACCTTCAATCACTAGGAACAAAAAATGTTAAAACTGGCGAGAGTCATGCTCTTTGAACATTACTTTTCATTTCTCCTACCTTTGACAATGAAAATCAATGTCGGTTTCACTTTGTTCCGAGTTTCACTTTCAAGATTCAGGAATGCAAGGTTTGGATTTTAAACAATGCAGAAGTATGCTTTTTTTATTTATTGTACCAGTTAACTTTTAAAAAATTAGGAAAAATATTCTATGTGAAAGCTATATAAAACCTTATTTTTCCGAGCTGTAAATTTGGACCAAAATTATGATAGCATGAGTTAACAGAATAGTGATATGGCCTGGGAAAAGTAAGATGATACTTGGTGAATATTTGTGATGTGATTCTTAACTCACTTGGAACCAGATTTTCTGCTGATCTAACTCTACTAATGTCACTGGAATTAAGTCAGCAGAGTATCTGTTTTTTATATCTGTGCATTAGAGGAATATAAAGGGTGTGATTGAATATATTACTGTATACTGTACTCACTGCAGTGCCAAGGTAAAAGAGTGGAAACCAAATTAAGGTAATCCAGGGGTCTTTTCTGAATATAATACAAAACCTCACAATGGCTGTGCCTCTCTGATTGGGATGGTAGTAGTGTGTATGCTGGTGAAAGAAAAAGAAAGGAAAAGGAAAGGATAAGTTACTCTAGAAACTGGATTCTTGGACACGGGCCCCTACCACCTGTACTTAGTTATTGGTTACATGAAATTTTATTAAAATAATGTTTATAAAGTTTAGAATGTGCACTCTTGTCTTTGTCAGTGTTTTAATCTTTTTCTAACATGTATTTGACATAAAGTTTAAATAAGAAATGAGAGAAATTACCAGCAATTTGTATTGGCAATTGAATGT